CATTTTATTATTTTTAATAGACAGACTAAGATGTCTGACAAATGCAATTACCAGAGTCGCATAATAATTGTATGGCAGAAAATAGAACATATGAAATGGTGGATTAAGCAATAGCTGTCAACGAAGAATAAGGCATTGTGGAAAATTAGGGGCGAGTCTGGTCGGAAAATATGTATATATGTCTTATTTACCCAGCGAAAAAATATAAAGTAACGTAGTTTGCTTGCAAACAACAACATATGAAAACAAACAAATAATATTTCACTTTTTCTACCGGTATAGAGTTGGGTTCTTGCCAGATATTGGTACATTCGTCATAGAACACTGTGGACTATAGAAATAAACTTAATCACTATCATATAATAGTCAATATTATTTTTTTATTACTTATAATGTGACTTTATAATGGCACATAAAATACATTATTGTTTACAATGCTTTATCCAATAAGAATATAAACACTCGTCCATCTTTTAAAAGTTCATGATTGCCTTGTCTGCTCCTGGTCCTATTTATGTAAGTTCGGTCGATACACTGATAAAAGACACTATCATAATAGTGCCCTCCGAATTCTCGGGACTTGAATCCGACCGTGACCTACTCGATATATTAAGTTTATGCATAATCAGCAATGCTTGGAAGAGTCTCGGCGCGTTGGTTGTACCAGGGAGGTAGTCTGTTGATCTGAAGAGGAGGAAGTCTGTGTTCTCGTGCGGGGACGGGTTGCGGCATGTTGTGGGGTTGATGTAAATAATCATTTTCAACCTTATTGTTACCGTCATCTTCTTGTGAGTTTCTTCTGTTAATACTGATTGTTTTAATGGAAGTTTCTCGTCCTTTTGCACGACGATATAGTGAAGCGACTTTCCTTTTCAGAGTCTTCCGTTTTTGACGCGTTTGTGGGTTGCCCGAACGGTCTGGACTTGTGTCTGGGGTTTTACTAACTGCACAGTCGTCGGACTTTTCGGGTTCATCATTTCCAATTCTGTTGATATTGATTGTCTTAACGACAGTTTCTCGACCCCTTGCACGACGATATAGAGAAGTGACTTTCCTTTTTAGAGTCTTCCGTTTTTGACGCTTATGTGAGTTGTCGGAAATGCAGTCTGGACTTGTATCTTGGGTATTGCCAATTATTGCACAGTCACCGGACTCTTGTATGTCGTTCTTTATTCTGTTGATACTAATTGTTTTAACGACAGTTTCTTGTCCTCTAGTACGACGATAGAGAGAAGTGACCCTTCTTTTTAGACTCTTCTTTTTGCGTTTTTGACGCGGTATTGGTGAGTAGTCGGAACCAGGATCGGAAACGTGACCGAAATCCCGATTTTCACAAAACGCCCGCACTGGTCTCAAAGGCATGGCAGAGGAATTGGGACGGTAAGGCTCTGGTTCAAGTTCAATTTCTTCATAACTGTCATACCTGGTTGTGATCGGCGAGGGATTTCTGGCGGTATAAACCTCTTCCGAACAGCTATCGACATCTTCTACATCTCTAGAATCAAATTCATCGATGTCAACATTTTTGTTGTCAATCACTTGAACTTTAGTCTCACGTCCTGTTATCCGACGAAACTTTGAAACCATCTTTGATTTCAAACTCTTCTTCGTCGACTTCGGGGAAGAATCGGCGCATTCCAGAGACGCGCCACGCGTACTGGAAGTCGGACTCGGACTTGTCATCTTGGGTTCACGATGTCTTACCTCACGTTCAGGACTGAGTGTACGTGCCTGACAACAAAACATGACTTCTGAATTACGTACGTTTTAGTAGCAAATGCATAGAATGACTTTTTCACGGCTCGTAACAGTTTGTCGAATGACTCTCTGTTGGACTTGATGCTTTGTTTTTCTACGTCGTCATGAGTGACGAGTGTGACGTGAAACGCGTCAGCAAGTACGTGTTCGCGGGCGCCGTCGTCGTTAGAGGACGCGCTCTATCAGAACGTCTCGAGAGGACGTCGTGAATGATATTCTTCAAGTATCGAATAGCCTTCCAATGCAAGAATGCCATGCCGACGCCAGGCTTCTTACATGTCCCCAAACTTGATGTTCGGAGTTGTTGCGTGGTTACTATTACTAGCGATACGGATTTGTTTAGGTGATGATGTTGGGGTAGGCTTCCTAGTACTTTGTAATAAGAGTTCTAAATACTAAGTACATGGGCGGTCTTAAAACTATATTTTGACTAAAACGGAAAGTCAAAAATATACACTTTTTTGTCAAAACAAGACCTTCGCGATGGGCGTCTTTCGCGGTCATTGTTATTCATCAATATATTTGTTCAAAATCTGGCTTAGCAATTAATTCCCACCACCAATTAGATACAGTGTCACAGCATTTTGGGACAATTTTACAAATTCAAAATCACTCTGGATAATCACCTTTACTTTATATGACTGTAAGCTGAGTTTAAATTTCATGTTTTTAATAGGTGTATAATATTTTAGTACATACATACATGTACACCCACAAAAAATACCCATCAAATATTAGTAACATAATTTATTACATAACCTGAACAGAAAAAAAAACATTGCTTTCCTTTGCCATAACTATGCACTGTTCCTATCTCTGTGACTTCATGCAAGAATCCTAATAAATTAGATAGTGACTATCTTCGGAGAATACTTGTGACACTCGAGTTCCATGTTGACTAAGTTCCGTTCAGTTTATTTACTTGTCAATATCTGACTGGCATATACAAAATGCGACACACAAAAAACGTCAAATAGAAAGTAAAAGTTGCCCGAGTCGAGTTAGCCATATAGTAGAAATCCGGCAGCAATCTGTCGGTCGTCGCTGCAATACGATTTCATACACAGAAAGTGAGAATCACAAATGTAGACAAATTGCATAGAAATGAACATGAAATACAGCTATCCTGGACAAATTTCGAGTCATCGATCGTCATGAGTGATGCAAGCGGTGTTTCCATCTATTTGCTTCTATAATTACGAGAAAAACGCTCACGCAAATGTTGTCGAATTCCTGAGTGTGCCGGCGTCTTTACGTACACTGGCGTGAACATTGCTACAAACATTGCTAAAAGCGACGAACAGGAAGTCTATTCTGGGCTCGTATCATTATCAAATTTTGGAGAGTTGAGAACGATTCATAAGGGAGACATTCCAATAAGGAATTGTTAAAATAAACAGTCCGACTTATACGACTTACGTCCTTGAAAATATAGTCTTATCGCCCTTGCGTTTCCGAGCGAATAAACGACGATGCCAAAAACGACCGATTTTCGCCCAATCTTCTATGCTTTTTTTGATATATTTAATTCAGTCCAACGGTTAGGATAGGCCATTTATTAGAGACGCCCGGGGAATCGAAATTTGCTCTGTAAATCACTTTGGCGACAAAAATATTAGCAATATTAGCTATTAAGGGGGTTGGGTACTGAATTTCAAAAACATTTGTTTCATATAAAAAGTAGTCAAACGTCTACATGACCTTGAACAGATGAACTATACATAATCCTAAAAAAGAGAACTTTTGGTTTCTACAAAATGCTGATAAAAGTGGCGGGGATCCGACATCCCACACTTCTAATTCTAATCCGTACATGCCAACGCCATGCGCTGGGAAGCCCCCCAAGGAAGACGACCGCCTAAAGTGTCGTTTTTCGGTTCAGGCTTATACCCGTATATTATGTCTTGTATGAATGACCATTGACGGCGTCAGAAAAAAAAGTAAAAAAAAAGTAGTATGCTTCCCAATATCACTATATAAAACAAACAAACAAACACATCATCCCCTCAGCCAAAAAAGATTCACCGAGCATATTACGCACAGAGAGCGTGAAACCCGTCCAGTCAAATCCACGCCACACGGCGTCTCCGACGTGAGCCATAAAACGGTTTTAGTTCGCCCTTTATAATTTTTTTTTAATTAAGTGAATATCACTCAAAACATCCTAGATATTTTCTGGCCAACAAAATTCCTTCATCTTTAATCATATCAATGGCAGTTGAATCAAAGGATATCGATTTAAAAAAAAATGGGGTCACCAGCTTTATATTCGAGAAAATGACGGTTGTATTTTAATGGATGGTGGCTATTTTGGCAGTAGTATAATGCTTTTACCGTAGAAAATATGCCATATCTCAAATTGTAGGCTGGTGACATATGCTGAAAAATGTATATATAGTATGAATAATGTGAATAACAAGCACTTTTTGTTGTCTCAATTATTTCAAAAATCTGGGTTTTGAAAAGCGGCAAAAATGAAATTTGTATTTATAAATTATTCCAAAAATAGCAATTTTTAAAAAATATTAGGACAAGTTGCTGAAAATAACTTCATGATTTTACACATGACACGCGCAGATTTCCCGCAAAAAATAAAAACAAATCAATTGACAACCCCAGTCCACGTAAATAGGAGCGCGCCCCTTGCCGAATTTCTAGATCCGCCAGTGAATAGTACTACCTGTACTTTCATTTTTTTTTAATTTAGTCAATATCAAGTGTTAGCAAATATGTTGGAATCTGTTGCGTTCGTGGCAGTAAATCGGTCAACGACATTACAGATAATAAAATGTCTTCTTTGGATTTGAATGGACATCATAATTATAATAAATATTTGTATAAATGTCCATAAAACAAATTCACGCCGCATGAAAACGGTGTAGAAACTTGTTGTTTCAGTTCGAATTGTGAAATTTATAAATATTTATACAGATAAAGGAAATGCCTTTGTTTCGCCGAGAGTAATAACAGTTTATTGTTATCAAATGACGCCCATTGCTCTTACTACAAGGAAAATCATATCGACGCAATATTTAAAGTTACATTCCCATTGTGTATCATAATCAAACCACTTAATTTTATTTTAGGAGTGGCTTCAAAATTCGATTTCAGGATTCTGCTAGATAAGATTTTTCATGAACTGCATTTGCAAAATCCAAACCCATTTCTGTCTGCATATAAAATGGGAATATAATGGCAAGTCCCTTCGCGCATGCGCATTGTACTAGCGTTGTAGATACAATGTGTTCTTGGTTGGTTGTTGGCTGAATGAAAACACAAACAGATATTACAAGGAATTCCACACGACGGAGAGAAACTGGACACTCGAGGTGAGTTAGGCACGTATCGTCATTGCAACAGTACCCTGCAAACTGCGTGACTGCAGCAACGATCAATAAACTGAGCTGTAGAAATCTCGCCATTTTGAAATCAAACCGAATTCTGCTTGTTTTTATCTTCCGTCTGATTGACTAAAATCACCCCAGGTAGAACACCAACAAATGACTTGGATAGATATTCGTTCTGTTTCGCTAATAAAGGAAAGGTTTTTGAGGGAATACAATGGATAACAGTTCTATTGTATACTTAAAAAAGTGATTTTCGCGTATCGTTTATGCCCATTCAACAATTCCGGTTTAGTTGTAAGGGACCGACCATTAAATTTCGAAGGGGGGAATTTTATTCACTGGTCTTTTTTAACCGATTTTCTTATTATGATTCATATGTGGTCCATTAGAAACTCTGCAGGTGGATATTCAAAATTACAGCAAATTCATCATGATAAAAAATAGTGCAAAACTAATTGAAGGAAAACAATACTTTGTATAGAATTTCTGTCAATGTTATTGGCAGTGTTTGTAATGTTTCACCATGTACATCTTTATGTACAAATTTTAACCATAATTAATTACTAAGAAATAACACAGTATGACATCCGTGATTATCTATTTAGTTCAGAGTTTAATTAATTTTAATAAATAAAATTTTAGATGATTTGTTTACTATCTTAGATCACTGTTCAAATATGTCTAATTTGCATATTGTATTTACTTTTCCCCTATGAAATTCAGGACACAAAAATGCTATAATGTAATTGTATTGTTAACAGACCCAGTTTTGGCAGCTTTTAGTAGAAATTACTAGAATGTGTGGTCACATATTTTAGAGCAGTGACAATATTTCTTGTGAAGATCTGTCCATTTTTTAACCGTTCTGGTTTGTTCACTGTCAACCTGTGTTTTTTTGAGAAAAAACTGTTCAAAAAAAGCTCAAAATGTTACATAGCAATAAGCAATAGTGATGAAAACATATTTCATCAATAAAACACCAGTAAAATAATTAAAATTTGTTTTTTTATTCACGAGAAATTTTGAATAGAGTATATTCAAATACAAAATTAATGGAATTAAAAGGAATATTTCTCAAAGTGCCAAAATGTATATGTATATAAATTGTATACCAAGTTGTCTAAAACATTTACAGCTGATATATAAATTCATTCTCTATTATTTTTTTTTTTTTAAGAAATGATTTACAGTGATGCTGACGTGCATATGTGTTGGGAATTGGAAAACCGCTTTGATTGGTCACTTTTACCCCGGAAAATATGTGAGGTAATGATGAGTAATTGTGTATTTGTGAAACAATCAAGCTATACTACTTGGCTATGTTTTTTTAGATAGAATTTTTTCTCATTATTTGGTAATAGTTTAAACAGTAAGTGAGTGTGTGGATATGGTATACATGTATTAAGATGCACATTTAAAATAAACTGTATCCTTGAGGAACCGTTATTTGCATTTTTTTTGGACATCGCTAGTACAATTTCAGTGTAATGCCTAAGATGGCAATTAGTTGGCTTTGCCTTTTCATGAAAACTTACAATTTTCAAAGTGAGTATTATTGTCATCAATATTTTCAACTTAATATATATAATATATAGCAAAGTATACTGGACAAGCTAGCTTCATACAAGTTATTTTCAGACTGTACTGTAATTTAATGGTAAAAATAGTCTGAAATGATGTGTATATCTTTCATTACAAATAGTTGTTGACAGAATATAAATCATTTTATTCCGTTCAACATTTATGTTAATATCTGATTTTAATATTAAATGTCCATTAGTATGAGGTTATTACGAGGATACCAAAAAGTATGCACGAAGAACAGTACAGAGGGAGTATCGATCGACGGACATGCAGCAAAGGTGCAACGACATACTGTCTGAGTGCATACTTTGCAGTATCCTCGCAATAACCTTATTATTATACATCTTTTCCTCCCAATGATACATCATGGGAATGCCAAAATCCAAAAAGTTTGGAACAGAATCAGCCAACTTCTTTGTGTGGAGTCTGGTCAAACTCTGGTGGCAGCCATGTTTGTTTTGATTATTAGAGGAAGCTTACACATGTAATCATTCCATATTTGGAATTAACATTCCTTAATATGGTAGAATGAAAATACCCCATAAAATACCGCAAAATTCTGGCACGCTGTAACTTATGGCATTACAGTGACAGATGTATAATAATAAGAAAAAATACACGTCAATTGTTGCAATTGCTCAGGAATTAATAAACTTTGCATCAATTGTTGAATTGTATCTGGGATTTATGTTATATATCTCTACGTAACAGATACACTGACTTGGCCCTTTTCTTTGATGATAAATTAATGTTTGAAGTTGATGCTTTATTCAAAGTACTCTGTTTCTGAACTATTTGACTGAGACAATACTATTTGATTCCTTTGTGTTTTACAACAGAGCTGTGAAGTGTTAGGACGCCTGCACAGTGCACCCCCTATCGCAATCCTGGAATGTGCACTGGCTATTCTGTCTTACTGCATGCAGCCTACTGATGTACATATTCCAAATTCTTATTGGACGGAGCCTGTTGTAATATGGAGCTTCTTAGGAATGCCTACTGGTAGGTTGAAGACTCTAAAGACTATAGTCACTGGATGAAATTATACCTATAGTGCCCTGGCTGGTTATAATAATTTTTCCTATAATTTTTTTCTCTGAAAATAAATCTTCAAAAATATATACGATAAGTGTTCTCATTAACCAAGATAGGCATCATGCACACTAACACATACATGACGCTTGTTTTACTTTTGTACTTAGGAAGCAGTAAGTCATCGATATACAAGTATCTGTTGAAATTGACAGCAGCTATTCAAAAGGAGTTGGATGTACGTTCTCCATATGCGTCATCATGGACTTTAAATGAAGCAGCTTTAGAGAAAATGAGAGCTGTTTTGTTGTTGGATCACCAAAAAGCGACAGTGTCTAGCGAGGTTTCTCAAAGTCAAACTCTGAACCAGCCTGGCCCATACAGTGGTGCGCAAGGTATGTTAGTTCCCTTTCAGTTTGCTCTCATTTACTAACCTTGTATATGTATTGAAGTTTGATCTGGGTTTATATTGGTAAATTATTAGTTGAAATTTAATTGCAATCAGCTAATTGCAGAGTGGAAATAAATTGAACTGTAGCGCCCAGGAAAATGACTGGCAGTGTCGGAAGGGATGGCAGTAAAAAAAAAACCACTGTGACAGTGTACTGTCATGCTGTTTGTATCCTGGGGAAAAAACTATTAGTTAGATATTTGTGTCATGTCTGTTATATAAAGACACTTAAAGCTATGGTTTGGGGGAAAAAAATTGAAAATTGTTTCTTTTAGTGGTAGTCGTAATAGTATATAACATGTGAGTAATGGTAGTAAAAATTTAAAATTTCAATAAAATAAATCTCAACAACAAATTTGGATTAATCCCTGTCAATTCCTTTAGGCTAATATTTGTGAATTTGTTTTGAATCTAGACAGCAACACCTCCTAGACATGGATGTTACCTAATACCTTTCAAAATTCTTAGATTTGTTACCATTTCCATTCTTTATCATTGCCTTTTCCATATGTATTTGCTTTGTCACTTTTCACGTTTTTTGTTTTGTTTTTTTGTATTGTAAGTGATAAAATAAAATAAATAAATAAGTAAGGTTGGTCAATACAGTGTCATTAAAGTTTTCGTTTTTTTTGTATATTTTTTGAAGATTCTTTATTGCCATACAGGGTCATATGTAAAAAGAATGAAATTTGAAACTCTGTGCCTGAAACTATATTTATAAAAAAATAAAAAGGCAGGGGTATAAGTCTATTTGTACAGATACAAGTAGTTTGCTTTATGCAATTATGTGGATGATAAAACATATTCTCATGTGTGAACTCCTGCAAGTTCACTTCCATCAAACTATATTGAGCTACCTAACATGTATCTTTTTGTGACTTGTCAGTTCCATTTTCAGCATTACAAAAAAAAGTTATTCTAAAATATTTCATATATGAATTTACAGTTTTATAATTTTGACTGTTGTGTCTGTAGTGTCCAGCTTTGATCTTGAGATGATATGCTTACCTCTGGTGGGTTTCAGTGAGCCACTCACAAATAAGGCATTGATAAAAGACGTGAGAAGTCACACCTTATATCTGGCTCCAGTATACGGTGACTATGATAGCTTGAAAATACAGCCAGGTGAAGATTTGATATCAGACTTCATGCTCAAAACGTTAGGTATGACTTTATTTAAAATGGAGGGTTGTCATCTGCGCATAACGCGACAATAGCGCAAAGGCTAATGGGTAGATAGTAAACAACGACAAGCTACGGCAGTCCACGGCATGCGCAGATGACGGGCCTCCCACTTTGAATTATTTACCTGTATGCGGTTATCAAACATAGATTTTTATATTTCTAGTAGTGTGTGTTTCTCGTATCATTCCATGTAATCTATGTTATCTTCGGTGCATGTCCCCATAGTTTCATCTACTTGTATAAACCTACCTAAGTAAGTGCTTCTGAGTTTTGAGCATCAAAATTGTGTTACACACTATAGTTGCTGGTTTTGTTCAATATTTTTGTCATCAAATTTTGATTTCTAAATTCAATACTTTGTTGGAAAAATAACTAACTCACTTGGAGATGGCTGAGTAAAAAAAATATTTTAATTTTTTTAAATAGCAATAGTTGGTGCTAATTTGTGGATAGAACGACAGAACGATGATGATGAAGCTCTGAGTCAATCAAATGCTGTGAGGGATAAGTTACTGAAAGGGGATGATAGCTATCTGTTATTTGAAACAGAAACTGCAAACAAATCACAAAGCAATAAAAGAAGGAGCATACCCATAGAATATACCATTGATGAAGAAAGTGGAATGTTCAAAAACATATTCAACTACTTCCAACATGAGTTGAAGTATTTTTCACACAGGGATAGTCTTCTTTCTTGTAAGTATTTTTTTAAACTTAACTTTTGAAATGACTTACTACCAGTATTTATAATTGTTGATTGGAGTTGATGTTGTATATATTTCTTTTTTTTAGGAGATTGTTTTACTTTGCAGGAAATAGAGCGGGTAACATTTCTGTTGTTGTTGTTTCTGTTATGGTTGTTGTTGCTGATACTTCTTGAGTGTGATTACTTTGATATGAACATTTTCAGACTTGATGTACCATTGATCAGTGTAAAGTTGCATTGCCACTTTGCAAATATGTAAAACATCACTCCCAGAACAAGTTGAAAAAATAAAATGCGTAATAATAATGATGTGTTAGCTAATAATATATGATATATTAAAAGTAGATGTCTTGCCCCATCTTTTCCACCTATTTCATTTTGGGAGTGCTGGAGGGTATTAGTTAACAAAATTAATTAACAAAGTGTCTAATGTTTACAAATCTAGATTAATTTAGGAGGTTTGCTTGAATTCATAGTCTCAGCTAATTTTACTAATCAACAATTTAACGTTAGATGGTGTATATTGATCAGAAGATGGTATTTCATAGATCTGCAAAGTGAGAATGTAACTGTAAATTTAGGTAGAAGCCTACTTATTTTTAGGTTGATCAAAAATCATATGAAAATGTGTGTTTTGACTGTATGATACACGATTGCGCCACTTTCGACACAGCAGACGAATTATTTAATCGTATAAGCATTTTTTGATATCATGACACAAAAAATTCCTGACATATGCATTTTATATTTTCTGGACATGTACGAACTGGCAAGATGTAGATTGATCGTATTTGCCACAACAAATTCAATTTCTTCGCAAGTCATAGTTCTGCTGATCCCGCGAAATAGTCTCCACTGGTTTTCTATATTTTCTATTTGACTGCCAAAAACAATGGACGTTGTTTCCTTGGTTCTAGGCAATATATACCAGTAATAGTTTTCTTTGTTTTTTTTTGGTTGTAGTGACTGTATTCATTGTGTTGATAATGTAAACAATCAACGCATCCAGGAGGTCATCCTATTTAGAATAAATTTGCATATATTATGTTAATGTAACTTATTTCGAGATGTCAGCATCAACTATGAATTATTCATATCAACTAGAAACCTACAGACAGGGCCAGTCTGTCGGGACTAAAGTTGAAATGCTTTGCATTTCCCATCAAATGCCTTTAGTGTTTGAATGTCTATTAAAGATACATAATTACATTATGCCCGATGACTGTCGACAGTCTACATGTGAAAGTGTAAAAATACAAACATTTTCCTAATATATAGAGAAAAAACATTATAAACCAATTATCTTGGAAGCTTAATATTCTTAGTATTAATGTTTGGTTTGTTCTATATAACGAATTGCATGCAAGATATTAGGAAAAAAAGTATTTTTACTGAATTTTATTTTTGCAGATTTATCCCTTCAGTGTTTACAATGATCTCTCAGCCTCTGTTTTGATTCATTTTATTTGTTCAGCTCTACTCACAAAAGCCAAAGGTCAAGTTTTACGATTGGCTGCACCAATTCATATTCTAGTCGATGCGGCATCATCTGTTGTTAATGAAGATTACATACCAACAAATGTCATATCTGAAAGATCCATTGCTGTGGCCCATGCTCTGGTGAAATTAAGCATTGCCCAGACTGCCTTCCTCAGTGGTAGGAAAATAAACTGTGACTCCTTAGAGCTCATTAAGGTAAATGTGGGAACTGGCCACTGGTGATATATAACGTCAACCTGGATTGAATGATACATACTTTCATTGAGCTGCCCACTAAACCACTGTTCATGATCCTTCAATAAAAATATTTACAGGCTGTTAGATGATATGCACTGAACAAATTAATGCCTAGCATTCTATGAACAGAAACACAAAAGTTTTAAGCCAAGAAAAAAATACTTTGTGTTTGTGTTTTCAACAACAGTGCATACATTTTGCTTTATTTTTGTTTGCCCTATTAAATGAAACAAGTTTTTCTTTTTTAATTATTTGCCAGGATACTATTGAGCTTGAGGAGAGTGTTACCATAGAGACACCAAAAAGTACAACCAAAAATCCATTTAAAAGCGAGATTGTGATTCTAACATCACCAGGCAGAATCGTCAGTGGCAGTCAGTTACTTGAGAAGAAAAGATTTGTTGGTAGAGATGGACTCAAACCGAAGGAGATTTTGACAGCATGTGTTTACTCACTGGAGGATGATGGTCTAGGCACTGTGGAGAATATTCGCAGCGGCAATGGGAAAACGGCAAGTTTGTTTGGTTATTAATATTATATTGCATTATTATAGTGTAAAATCTAATATATCATTTACACAAGACTTGAGCCTTCGGCATCGATAAACCCTTTGGGTTGAACTCTGATAGAACTGAACTCTGATAGAACTGAGCCCTGACATGACCTAACTGTGTGAACAATAACCTCATGAAAAGGGCATTATTCTAGCTCAGCTTTAAATAAAACAAGACAAACTTCTGGTCGTGTTCGTACAAACACACAAGAGTTAATTGTGTGTTAATTGCAATTATTAGTTCAGTTCTGATAAAATGTTGTCGTGTGAACCTAAGCATATGGACACAGAACAGTGTAAATGCTCATTGCATCAGATTCGTCAATCAATCAATCACTTTCACCAAATAATTGTAAAAAAGTACTATCAGTAAATTGTTGTACGCTGAAAAAATGTGGTGAATGATCTAGTGAAGTATACCACCCTGTTTGATCCTTGACTCGAATGCTATTGACTCTGAAACACAAAGTGTCACAACAAACTCCTTACACAAATGGCATATCTAAAATACCTCAAGGTCAAATAAAGCGGTGAAGAATACATGGCTAGGAATGAACTATATCATTAACAAAATCACAGGTGTTTCTTGTATTTTAATTATTTATGTATGATTGCATAGGTTCTGTATTTTATGAAGACAAACATAGATGAACAAGAGTGTAAGGATCATCTAATCATG